ACTAGCTTCCAGAGAACACATTTACAAGACGGCTGCGTAGAATTTAGTGGCACCTAGGGGTCGTCTTAAATATTGCAGTTGAATTAATGGCAGGAAAACGTATAGAATTGATAACCAAGAACTGCACTTTTTTTTTTTCTTTTTTTTTCCGTCGCATGTTCACTGTGGATTCTTCACCCAGGTCTACAGACATGACAGAATACGTCCAACGAACAATGACCCGACAAAGTCTGTCTGAGGGACAGATGTGTTTGCGGGCACCAGGTGAGACCAGTTGGACTGATTGACAGGTGAACGTGAGGACGCTGATTACCGCGGACACAGAGCCAGACCTGAGCGTACCGTACTAAGGCTCTGTGGCGCAATGGATTTTTTTTTTTTCTTCGGTAATGGTCACTTGATAGTTATGGTCGCAGTGAGGCCGAAAAGTTTGAATCCCCGATAAGTCACTACGTCAGGGTCTCAGAACAGAAGCACATTCTTCTGCAGCTGTGGACCACGTGAGCTTTACACTTTCCCTGGAACTAGCTTCCAGAGAACACATTTACAAGACGGCTGCGTAGAATTTAGTGGCACCTAGGGGTCGTCTTAAATATTGCAGTTGAATTAATGGCAGGAAAACGTATAGAATTGATAACCAAGAACTGCACTTTTTTTTTTTCTTTTTCTTTCCGTCGCATGTTCACTGTGGATTCTTCACCCAGGTCTACAGACATGAAGATTAGGGATTAGATTAGAGGTGTCAAACTCATTAATTCATGGAAAGTACAGGTGTATTAGAAAATATTCATATATTTAATGAAATATTATTTTCTGAAACATTATCAACATGAAGTTTTTCTGCATTTCTTTGCTTTCAGAATTTATCAAATGGCCCGATATGAACCCCGTAGTGGGCCGGTATTGGCCCACGGGCCGTATTTTTCACACCCCTGGATTAGATCAAATGGATGAATGGATGGATGCATTGTTTTTTTTTAGGACACTACTTACTGTGTATTCATTATGTTTTGCAGGACGGAGCAGCAATGCACCTGAGCACCTGAACGCAGCACAGGAAAAAACAAACAGAGTCTTATCTCAGGGAATGCAGGTGGGACAGAAAAAAAAGCAGGGGAATACGTCCAACGAACAATGACCCGACAAAGTCTGTCTGAGGGACAGATGTGTTTGCGGGCACCAGGTGAGACCAGTTGGACTGATTGACAGGTGAACGTGAGGACGCTGATTACCGCGGACACAGAGCCAGACCTGAGCGTACCGTACTAAGGCTCTGTGGCGCAATGGATAGCGCGTTGGACTTCTAGCTACTAAGACATTCAAAGGTTGTGGGTTCGAGTCCCACCAGAGTCGATATTTACTGAATTTCCACAGTATAATTTGAATAAAGTCTTATCTAATAACTCTGTTGAATATATATATATATATGTACATATATAGTATATATCTGGGGAGCTGGAACAAAGTCATTGGTTTTCTATATATGTACATATATATGTATGTACATATATATACATATATATGTACATACATATATATGTACATATATATGAACAAAGTCATTGGTTTTCTATATATGTATATGTACATATATGTACATATATATGTACATATATGTACATATACATATATAGAAAACCAATGATTTTGTTCCAGCTCCCCAGATATTATACTATTTAATTAATTAAAATAAATTCTCCCCTCTACCTAAACATCAAAAACATAGATATAAACAAATATATTGATAATTTAAAATAATAAAAATTAAGAAAACATTTTATATTGCTGTTATAAAAATGGATAAAATAACCTAGCGAGGGACAGTGAACGAAGGAGAAGGACTGAGAGTGGGGACTCAATTTAGTGGAAAAACGAAGCTTGGTTGAGCGCTCGTAATTCGATGTTTCCTCGTATCACGGGAAAATATATTTCTAAATTAATTACCCAGCTGCATGTGAATCATTACGTAGTTTTAACAAAAACTGGACCAGCAGGGAAATAGTGAAAAGACATATGGGTTATTACCATATTTAACATGTCAAACGTGCACACGGGGATTTCTTGCCTCACACGAAGCTCCTTTATTATTTAGTGCATGTGTTTAGAACCTAAACACAGTTTCACTGTGGTCTAAGTGTCTGTTCAACTCATCATCAACTGACGCTGCCTATATGCTGGGTCGTACAGTATCCCTGTTAGGTCAGTGGTGTCAGTGAGTTTTTGAATGAATCCCTGATTTGAACATATTCACGTCATTTCTTTTACTTTCTGTTAATGAAAAGTTGTCAAGACACGTGAAACCAAAACTATCAACACAGCTGTGGATGTGTGATGGTGAAGAGTTTGTTATTCATTCCACTGGGACCGTGCCGGTGATCCATCCAGCACTTGTTGAAACACTCAGGCGGGCCAAAATTATCAACAGAGTGGAAACAACTGTTCAGGTGAAAAATGACCTGCTGGTACTGTGTACATCACTCAGCTATAATAAGACTTCAACTCTCTGTTCCGTACATTTGCAGAGCCAAACCATACAGGAAGTTGGATTTGTTCATCTGAAGAGACTCCGCCCTCTGCCTGGATTATTTTTTTTCTTTTTCCTTTCTTTAACAGTAACACCTTGAGATACGAGCGTCCCGACATACGAGTATTCCGAGACACGAGCGAGCCTCCGAGCAACTTTTTGCTTTGAGATACGAGTAAAGATTCGAGATACGATCGCGCTTACAGACGCCGACGCTAGGTGGCCGAGCACTCGGTTCGTACGCATCTCCTGCGAGTCTTGTGTTTGAGTTATCTACGTGATTTTTTTTTCCCTCTATTTTGTGCATTATTCTTCATAATAGCGATGAGTCCTAAGAGAGTGAGTGGTAAGGATGGTGGTGAGAAGAAGAAAACGCACGATGACCATGGAAATAAAGCATGAAATTGACGATAAATATGAGCGCGGTGTCCGCTAAAGGAGGAATAGGATTGAAAAAAGCAAAAAAAATAAATAAATAAATATATATATATATGAATATATATATGTATATAATGTATATATATATATATATATACACATGTATATACATGTATATATATATATACATATATATATAAATATATATATATAGAAAAGTAAATAATAAAAATGTGTAAGTTGAGTTAATTCTAAAGTTAGTTGTAAGTTACGTAGTGTACGTGTAAGGTACGCTACGGAATCAAGTGTCTACGTACGGGCCAACTCTTTTCCCTCCTATCTGCACGTGTAGACAGGATCCTCCGTGGGTGGATGTGGCGACCGCCCAGGATGTGACAGCACGGCACAGCAAATCAAAGGGCGTCTGTTGGGACACAGATAAGACGAGGAGTCAGAGGGAAAAAGGGCACGTTCAGCTAACATCACTCGTTGCATGCGGGTGCGACACAAAGGTTCTGAGACAAGTTCTACTTCAAAGGGTGTCTGATTTCAGTAGCCAAAACTTGTGAGGATGAGTCGCTCCAAATCTTCAAAACAGCGGTAATCACGTCATCTTCACCTTTGTGTCTGATTTCAGTAGCCAAAACTTGTCGCTCCAAATCTTCAAAACAGCGCTAATCACGTCATCTTCACCTTCAACTGGCTGAACTGTGTCAAACCAAAACAGTTTTAAAACCAGAGGAAAAAAATCAAACATTTATTTTCTCGTCCATTATTTGCTAACCTTCCAGTTAATCTCAGAACTTTTCGACTCGTCCGCCAAGTATTAAGACGTACAACGACCTGGTAGCATATGAATCTGAAGCAGCAGGAAAAAATATTATGAGCCTTTTAAAAGGTTAACAGTCGAGGGTATTTTAAACCAGGCCTGTGGTAAAAGATATTTTCCAAATACTTTTCTTTCTTTTTTCTTTTTTTTTTCCCCCCCTCACGTTCCCTAGCAAACCAGATGGAAAGGTTTACCACAAGTATTCCGATTATTTAGGCATCTTATCAATGCTTTTTAAACTTGATATATGCTTCTCTACACACTCTTAATATTCATGTTCCAAAAAAAAAAATCAATTCAACTTTCTTATAATGGTAAAAATGTATTCAAACCACTGACTGTCTAGCGAAGCGGGGTTCTTGCACGTGCCCGTCTCAGAGGGGGTGCACATTAGTTCAGGGTATCATCCGACCGCTCCTCGTCCCTCATCCGTTTAATTATCTGTATCAGCTCTCAACAGTCCCGCTGCTCTGCGCAGCGCCGACACGGTCTTTCATGCTTGACGGAGCTGCATATTTTATGTTCACCTCCGCCCCCTGCAGGTTCTGCTGCCGTGATTTAGAGCCGCGGTGGAAACAAGCCAGAAACACCAGAGAAAAGAAGTGTCCCTGATGTGGAGGAAGGCCTCCATCCTTCCTGCTCTGTTAAATGATGCCGCAGAGGAAACGTCGCCCCGGGACCTGTTACCGTAGGACCTGAGTGGAGAAGAGACTCAAAACGGGGGGCGGGGTGGAGGAGGGATTACCCTAAAAAAGTTTAAATTTGGTCTTTGTGTTATTTACTGCATATGTTTTGAAAGGTTTTGCAGATTTACACATTTTTCGTAAGTGTTTTTCTTATGGGAAATCTAGAACAAAAACACTGTAAAAAAAAAACCCTGAAGATTAAATTATATAATAATACATTAATTTAAATGTGATATTCTTTATTTAAAAAAGGTTATAATCTTATAAATTAAGTCATACGACAAGTTTAATATTGTGAAATATCATTTTAATAACTCTTCAGATCATCGTCATTAGATAATTTTAGTTGCTCCCCAAAAACTTATTATTTATATTTTATGCCAGGCATGGGCAAACTAAGGCCCGGGGGCCGGATGCGGTCCGTTCAGCTTTTTAATCCGGCCCTTCAAACTTTTCCAAATTATATCATTTATTTATATTATCATTATACGTTTGCCTTTTCCCTGCAATACCCATGTTTCACCTATAGATGGCGTAGAAAATGATCAAAATAATTTCAGCATGTTAGCCTTTATGCATGACTTTTGCAGCAACAGGGTGAACCTTAAGAGAGTTTCCGTCTACCTGCCTCAGTTCTCAGTCTTCTTGCATGGCCGGGTTTAAGGAGGAGAAGAGAAAACAGGAAATGAAAACTATAAAAAAAAAAAGGTTGAGTGATTGGAGCGGGCTAGCCTAAGAACAGAGAGCCGGGAGGAATGTGGGAGATTCAGAGTGTGTTCTGGTCAGATCAAGAGATGAACGGAAGCTGGGATGAACCCGATCCAGGGTGTGTTCCAGTTAGAACAGGACGGGATGGGGCCGAGGTCGGGTCAGGAAAGGCTGAAGGCAGAGGGAAGGCAGATGTTTGAATGCAAATCAAGATATGGAACACACCCCAGGTGTACTACTGACATTTCAAACTCAAATCCACAGCGGGCCAATATTAAAAACTGTAACAAAGTATCGGGCCAAACTTAATGTTAGCAAACATAGCGCATGCACCGCTAATACTGCAAATCCTGTCAAATCCACAGGAAATGAAAACTATAAGCGGGCCAACTCTAGTACACATTGGATATGATCTCGCAGGCCGAATATAATTACACTGCGGGCCAGATTTGGCCCCCGGGGCCTGAGTTTGACACCTGTGTTTTAAAGGGACAACAGGCACAGGGTTGACTTGGTAATGGGTTTCCTTATCAGAGCAACTGTTATGTCGATAACCTGTTGTTAGCTGTTATCCCGGCTGGTCGTTTCAAAAGCGCTAGCTTGATCTTTGTGATTCTTTTCTGAGATTTTCTATGCAGATGATACAGTTATATATCCTAGAGCAGTTACTATCAGCTTTAAACTAAAAAAGGTACACAGAACAAGGACAATATCAACAATGTAAACATTGACAACAGCTGTTTTGGTTTTTTTAAGGACAATATCAACAATGTAAACATTGGCAACAGCTGTTTTGTTTTTTTTTGGGGGGGCACACAGAACAAGGACAATATCAACAATGGAAACATTGGCAACAGCTGTTTTGTGTTTTTTTTGGGGGGGGGGGATATTTCCTTTTTGATACAGTACTTCTTTGTTTTTAAGGGAGATCCCTCTTTAAGGGAACGCACGCGGAATGCAGCGGATTATCGGACCCTGGAAAGTTCCTTTAAAGCGGTGATGGATGGGAAGCGGGTTCTCCAAGGTGTGAGGTGATCAAAGGCGTGGCAAAGGTCTGGTCTCGGTTTATTAGAGTGACTTGGTCAGCCGACAAGCCGCAGGATCAAAGGGGGGAATTCACTTTTCCTTCAACACACGCCTCCCTCTCTCAGGCCAATATAAACACTGGGGGGACACAGAATTTTTTTTTTTTTTTTTAAACCAAATATCAGAAGCTCTACGGATATAACACAAACCATTTCCTTTTTTTTTTTTTTTTTTTTTTTCATTTCAGGAGCAAAAAGCAAGGTGAAACTTTTAAAGACTTAAATACAGTTTTTAAACTTCACTGTTTACAACCTTTGAAACTGCTGACAGCTTTCATCCGGGCGCTAACTAGAGAAGGATGACTAATTTAAATCACGTGGCTAAACCTCATTGATTAGCCTCAGACTTTCAGAATTTTACAGAGCTTGTCAAAATAAGTGGAAACCTAATTACATTTATAACAAAACACAGAGCACGGGCGATTTCCCGATTTTCAGACGGAGCCTCGATAAAGAACTAAAGTGAATTTTCATTTATCGCCAATGCATGTTTTGACGGAGAAAATTGGTGCTGGAAAGCGCATGTAGTTTTGGCCTTTTTTTTTTTTTTTTTTTTCGTTTCAAAAGAGATCCTTGTTAAAGGAAAATTCCGGTCTTTGAAGTGTAAACACAAAGACTTCTCCATCTGCCAAGAACCAGTTAGTGATATATGTGCGAGGGCGGGGAACGACTCTATCTACCAGCCAGGAAAAGAGGCATAAAATCCATTGTTCATTTTCCACTGCTTTATCCTGTCAAAAGTCACAGTGGAAACCAGAGGAAACCAGAGGAAACCAGAGGAAACCAGAGTCAACCGCAGCCGACCAGGTGAAGGACAAGCCGTCCCCCCGGGAACAGGTCACTGGTCCGTTACATACGGAAACACGGAGATGGCTCCTGGTACGGGTCGCATGATCACACGGCTGGGGCGACTATAGTGCAGGCAGTGATGTAATACAGTGATTTTCAACCTTTGGGTTGTGGCCCTTTTGGGGTCACCTGGAATTCAAATGGTGTTTCGTTGCGTGTGCTGTTGCGTGTGTTTGTGTGTTTTGGCTGAAAAAAAACAGCTGGAAAAAAACCAACGAGTGACACTTCAATTCTCCCCAGAGCTGGGAGGGAATCTGGAGCTAATTCTATGTAGCTTTAAACTTTTTAAAACCTTCGTTCTGGTCACTCTTTCAGTACATAGTTTCAAATCCCGTCCATATGAAGCAAATGTATTAAAAACACACGACTGTCACGTACTTTGTCCTACAAATTCTTCATTTCCTCTGTTACCGTTGTTGCATGTGCATCAACAGAGTTCACAGCCGAGGTCTGACACTTTCATTCTCACCACCATCAGGTCAGAGGTCAACGGTGGTCATAAATGGAGGGGACGTTTTTTAGCAAATGAGCCATGACAGTGACTCCCCCTCTTCCTTTAGGGGAAAAGACACATGTTCAGTCAGGGAAAAAAAAAAAAAAAAAACACAGCCTGGTGCATCCTCTGGAGAAAGAGTTAAACCTATCTGCCGGTGTGGGTCAAAGGTCGCCCCCCCGTGTCACCCTGACGCTTTGTTTGTTCAGTAGGTCACCACCTGGATCTGTTTTTAAGGAGGCTGTTGTCTTAGAAATATGCCTTTGTTACAGTAAGGGAACGCTGTGGTCATTTATTAAAGACGGTGGGAGGAAGATAGGACGATTAGTGTGTGTGTGTGTGTGTGTGTGAGAGAGAGAGAGAGAGAGAGACAGTAATAGAGAGCGGATGTTTGTATAGATCAGGAGTGTCAAACTCATTACCACCAGGGGGCCACATTAGCAACACAGTTTCCCTTGAAGTGCTGGTTGTAAATGGTAGACTGTATAGATCAGGGGTTCCCAACCCCCGGTCCGCGGACCAGTACCGGTCCAAAGGTCTTTTTTTTTTTAACATAACAGACTAATAGATGAATTTTTTTTATTTTTTTAGGTTAAGAAACTCTGCTTTATGGATGTTACTAAATGCTTTTTAAGCTCCCGCCGGCCACGCAAAACGGCCTGGCGGGCCACATTTGGACCCCGGGCCTTGAGTTTGACACGTGGGGTATAGAGAGAATAGAAGGAACAAAGTATTTTTTAAAAAAAAATTAGTAAACCTTTTTGAAGCTCCGTCTGTTCTGCTGTCCTGAGGTCAGTTGTCCTGCGGTCAGTTGTCCTGCGGTCAGTTGTCCTGAGGTGAAACAAGTGTCTCTATGGGGAGGGTCTGTGTAGGTTCTCAGTGTTCCCGGTCGTTTTATCCAAAGCAGTTTAGACTGGAACTGCTGTTGGTTCTCGAAACCTGGAAACAGATGAATGACACATGACAAACTGAATTAATTTACATCACAGATAGACTTTGCATTAGGATCTCTGCTCTAGACTCTGTCTGTTTTTACTAACATTAAATACTTTACAGAGAGCTAAAGGGCCAGAGGGCTGTAGGACTCGTACCAGCAACCAGATGGCTCCGGGTCTGATACTATTTTGTCCCGAAACATTGGGGTCAGAGAGGGAACGTGGTGTAAAAAACCTGTCCGATCTCTGTGGATGGAACATGGTTTAAACAGAACTACATCATATCAAGTCATTAGGATGAAAAATTGTCAACGTTCTGTCCACTTTCATTTAAAAAAATAATAAAATTTCAAGAGTCAGTCACTTTGTGTTTGGACTTTTGTTATTTTTTCAGTGCTTGAAAAGTAAGCTGAGGGATTTTCTTTTTCAACTGCGGTGTCAAAGACACCAGGATAACATCTGGAACACATGGATTAACCAGGTGGACAACTTGGATACGACCCGATAGCTTTATGACCCAAATATATCAACACGATGAGCCACGCAGCGCTGTTGTCCCCACTGAGATATGTGTCTCTTTTTTTTTTTTTTTAAAACGGAAGATCAACATGGAATGTGGCTCTGTCTTTTGCACTGGAGCGAAGCCAGGTCTTTGCCTGAGACGGAGTAGACCAGGAGACCGGGACGTGCGGACGCTGCCTGTGCAGTCGATCGTAATACCCAGCAACACAGGAAGATAAAGATGATAAAGGATGGAGAGAAAAAACGTTTTAGAAAACGACATGGATCACCAGGACAGGTTGGCGGTAAAAACGCCTGAGGGATGCGAGCCATCTTGGCAAGAGTTTCGGATCATAAACGTAAACATAAACCCCCTAAAATATGTATATATTAACCACGTCACATGGATTCTCGCATAATTGACGTCAGGATTGTAGCTCCGCAAAGGTTTAGTCTTTTGCGTAGGTCTCCATTTTTTTTTTTTTTTAACAAATTAGACATACTTTTTGCTAAAGCTAGCATAGAAAAGAAAAATTCTCTGTATATAAGAACTAACCGATGCCATTACTGCCACCATGTGGACAAAAGCAGAACTTGTCCTGGATGACATATCTCTGTATCTTCAGTCGACAACCTTAGCAGTCCCTTGTGGTCCACAGGTTTTTTTTGCACAGTCGACAACCTTAGCAGTCCCTTGTGCTGCACAGGTTTTTTGCGGCCCTCTAGGTGGTGCTGGTGACCAAAATTGGGCCGCGACCCAGTGGTTAAGAACCACTGTTCTAGACTACAGTAAGTTTTGGAAAGAAGAACCAGGACGTGGATGACTTTCAGCCATGAGTCACAGCGAAACGCTACTAGCTGGAGGGGCAGCAGGGAGGAAACAGGGTTTTTTTTTTTTTTCCGACAGCGCTGGAGCTGCTCCAGCTGCGATGCCTCTGGCACAGACAGCTTTGGACGTGTGATGTGGTTCGTCTGCCCGGAATCGCGTCCACGTCTCTCCACTCGCACTGGATAATGCGCTCGGAGATAAAAGGAAGTCTGTAGATTTTCACAGCTGCTCATGGGTTGGAAGATGTTTTCGATGAAAACTACATTTTTATGTGGTTCTCCTAAAAAATATTGGTCAAAGGGGGAGAAAATACGCCTCAGTGAGGGCACGGAGACAGCTTTTAATAAATCAACCTCGTTCTGGACTTTTGTTGATGAACTGTAGTATTTGATTTACTTGTGAATGTGCCGTGTAGGCACGGCCACGATTCCGTGTGTTGTCCACATGGATGTGATGAGTAACTGATGGCGTGGAGACAAGAAGTGGGTCAATAATTTATTAATACCAAACATTTACCTCCAGGATGAATAGAAAACAGTTCCTGTCCGCTTTAAAAATATATTTGTGAATTGAAGACAAATGTAATATATATATATTTATATATATATATTTAGATCTAATCAAATATCGGGATGAATAAATGGGTAATTTATGGGGATCATTATCACGGCAGCTACATTTAAAAAACAACTTCCTCTTCCTTCATCGTTACATAAACTGAAGTGGATTCTGATTGGTCACACAACCATGGCGTTACCGTAACTGTGAGTAGTAGTGACTGCATAAAGGAAATATTCTTACAGTAAATGCTGCCAGTAAGTTCACATCACTCTGTATAGTGCAGTAACAATTTGAAATGTAACCTGAATGAGTCATTATTTCTAAGAGCAGCAGAGGGCGACAGAGAACAGCCTGCACTAAGAGCAGCAGAGGGCGACAGAGAACAAAAACCAGCCAGCCTGCAGAAAAACAGTTGGTTTTAGTTCATGTTAAAGGGATTAAACTATTGACCATTAATGAACTCATGTAGTCACATATTTTACATTAGAAAAATCACCACTGTGCGCTACCTAACAAAATATGTGTCAATATATAATGACATATGATGATCTTGTAGTTCTAATTTACTCACAGTTTACTCAATCACGTGAAACCTGGACCTCTTTAGTTGAACACAAGTCTGATTTACTCACAGGAATTGAAGAAAGACACAAAATCTCAGTTTTTTTTTTCAGACCAACTGAGTGAAATTTGATCACTTTCATCAACAATTATTCACAAATTTAGTCACTTCAGTAATAAGTGCCATGTTTCTATGGGAGTGAATGATATAATATTGGTAAAAAATAAACTTTCTTTGCACTTTTCGTGTCAATATCCTTTGTGGAAACGTGACAGTATGCAGTGAGAGTGACAGACAGGGAATGTCGTAATCACAGGAAACCCATAAGTCAACACTGTCTGTACGGAACGCCTCATCCTCACTGACCTGTTCATCACATCCATTACTCAGGAGACTCATAACCATATCACCGTCATCGCTGAAAAGTTCTCGTCTCACACCACCTGACCTCGGCTGCACTGGGATGGCGTTCGTTGCGCAGGCACACGTACGACTGTGTTGTATCTGTACAGAATAGAAAGAAAAGAAAATAACAATTACAGACGTGACGTATGACTATATCATTTCGCAAAACTCGCACAGTACGCTGACGGTACTCGGTTAGAAACGAAGTTTACACAGATTATATGGTGAACCTGAGGAGACCTCAAGACGAGGTCCGACACGTAGAGCTACTGAAGCTAGACTCTGATCTTAACATAAAAGATGTATATGTTCCGTCCAACGCTTTGTACTTATTCCATAGTAAAAACCATGACTCGGATTGGCAAAAGATGTCGGACCATGTGCGAATGTTTTTACCCCTTCTGTCGTCAATCAACTATGACAGGGTTTGCTTTTCAAAAGGGCTTTCTTTAAAGGTTTCACAAAAACAGGACCCAAATGCAGGTCAACAATGAAGAGATTTTTCAAAAGGAATAATAATAATAAAAAAAATGGGTTAAACAACTCAGACCTCTCACTGTTGGAGCCACAGCTTGAACCTAACTGCTCCAAGACGCTGTTTATAATGTGAGAGTGTGTGAACGTCCTGCTGTTCAAAACAAACTTTGTTCCCTAGAGTGAAATATGTTTTTATTTCCCTATTTATACAGAAAAAAAGGATCTATAGAAACACTAAGTATCAACCTGACCACCTGTAGACCGGGTAAATGTCAGGCTCAGGGACACTGAAGAAAAGCAAATCCTCTTAACACAGTAAGCAGCTGCCCCAAAACAAAAACAAACTAACTTAACCTCATATTAATTTTCTCTCCTTCACAGCTGAATGACACTCAAATTAAAACAACTTCTCCCCATTACCCCCTGGCCATTAATTCTTTGGAGAGTTTATATTCCTGTTGACGAAATGACACTCAATTATTACCGTAGCTCTGCTGCCTGCTTTACTGTGGGGGGCATGTCCTTTACATTACAGCTATCTCCTTAATTTGGCTATTAAAATAAACAGCTCCCTGGTTAAAAAGCGTTCTAGTAGGTTTTTTGTAATATCTGACTAAATAACATCATACTTCAATGACGTAATTCTCAGTTTGGTTTTCCTGTGTTTCTCACCTTGTGTTTCTCCCCAGGTGCTTCACTAACTTCCGTTTGTGCGGCACAAATTGTGTCCGTGTCTATCTGTAGCTAATCATCTCCACCTGCGCCTATTTTACTTCTCCCTCGTCAGGCACAAATTGTGTCCGTGTCTATCTGTGTGTATCTGTAGCTAATTATCTCCACCTCCGCCTTGTTTACTCCTCCCGCGTCGGTATATATTGTATATAAAGCTAAAGCTAAAGCTAAGTTCGCTACCGCACAGCGTGAATGCAGCGTATATATCTGTCATGACGATATAAAACACTTGTAGAGTGCAGTCGGTTGTGCCACCTGTGGCCAGTAGACGGCGACATTCTGCAGAAAATAAAATTAAAAAATTAAAACAAGCTTATTTGGTCAAAATGGAAGAACAATGAATACTGTGCATGGATGTTCTTTGTGGACTACCACGCTGCCCAACAACAACAACAATAATTATAATAATAATAATACTTTGGTGATGTTTTAATAGAAAATGTGATATGTGGACAGTAACATCTTGTAAATGCATAGGCAAAATAAGTTTACATAACATACATGAAATAAAATGTATTATTATTATAATTATTATAAAATACTCTTTTATTCTCGCTGTCAAAGCCAGGCACAAAGGATTGAAAAGCACAAGCTAACAAGTTCAGGTGTCTTTAGTCGCAGAGCTCAGGTAATCAGTCCAAGATACAAAAGAAAAAAAATGAGAGGCCATTTTGGGAAACTTTCAGAAAAACACCAGAAAAGTAATGCATGAATAGTTGCCACAGGGGGGCGAAGACAAAAACAGACCAGGAGGACACTGAATATACACAGAGGGGCTGGCAGAGACAACGAGACTCTTGTGAGAAACAGTAGGAAGGAGCAGGTAAAAACAGGAGCAGGAAACACAAAAGGGCAGGAAGTGGGAGATCTGAAATGAGACACGGGAAATGAAGAGAGAAACAAAGTGAAAAAAAAAAACCGAGAACTCACAGAGCTCCTGCTGAGGGCTGATGTAACTGCCTGTGAAGACTAATGTGAAAATTTAATTAGTGCCTTCAGGAGAATTAAATTCGTACGCACTTCATCTAGCGGTTTGCCATAAAGAATTATATTATCTGTTGTTCATTTTATGTGTTTCCCTCATTTATCTTTTATGATAATAAAAAGTATGTGCATGCAGAAAATGTAAAAAAAAAAATCATACATTATGAACATGTTTTTACATATTAACTGATTTCTCTAGTTAATGGAAATTAACAGGTTCACAAAAAACTGTTAAAAAATAAAATTAAACAATTTAATTTAATTTTTAAAAAATTATATGCCAGTCACATTTTGATTGGATGTAGAATGCTTGGCTTTATAATATAAATAACATTTACAAGAATAAAAACTAAACTTTCAAAGATAATTTCCCAAATGTGATATCTTCCGCCACCTAGTGGCAACAATTGGAACTACAGTTGATTCGTTATCATGTATGAAACAGAAGGATTGACATTAGTCTTTACCATGCCTGGATCGGGTCCGGATCCGTAAAAACAGCGTACCGTATCTGGACCACGGGCCATAGTTTGCCCATGTTTTGATGCTGAGCCAGCTTTAATTCTTGCATTCTAACTGAACTGTACAGAACATTGTGGGAACAGCTATGTCAACCTTACCAGTCTTGTCTGATCTGCTCTGTGGGCCGTTAATAGTCTTGTCTGATCTGCTCTGTGGGCCGTAAATAAAGACGATGTTTTTTTCTGTTCTCTCATACAGACCACAGCTGACCTGAAATAAACAACACCTTCATACTGGAAAATGGCAATTTTTCTATTTCTTAGTTATATGTTTTACACTCAGTAATTTGCCACGACACTGTTGTCCACAATTTCCTCACTACGACTGTCTGTCATCCCCCTGTTCCCATGGTAACAGACAGATCCAGACGAGCACTCCTCTGGGTTGGGAAATGTTCAGACACTGATACCTGGACACCGACTGGAGACAGCACAGCAGAATGTCGTCGTTGTAATGGAAGACTTCACAAATAATTGAATGAACAAATAGTTCTATAAATGCACGGAATAATAAGAAAACAGTATCATACAACAGAGTAGAGAAGTTTACTACAAAAACACGTGGTGGTAAACTGTTCTGCAGAGACACAGTCCAAACTTTAATAATTAGATTTTTCTACTTCTGTCAGACATATATATATATATATATAACATTACGAAGGTTGAGGTAAAGTCTCAACCTGAAAATGTACATTTCAGAATGAAAAACCTTATATTTTTATTTATTTTATACATTTAAATACATTTAAAAAATAATTATGTACTGTAATTTCCAAGGGATTAATAAATTTATCTATCTATCCATCCATCCATCCATCCATCCATCCATCCATCCATCCATCTATCTATCTAGTCGTGGGCCAGCTTTTGGGGGTGTTGTGGGTCATAAGTGGCCCTCGGGCCAGAGGTTTGTCTATCTAATGTCTTTAATGCTTCAAAAATGAATATTGAAGGAATATTTTAGTAAAATACGTAACAAACAATCTTTGATTTATCTTAGCAAAAGGGCTAAAATGCAGCTAAAGGTTAGCATGGAACAATATTTCAAATATTTCTTTATATTTATATTTATATTTATATTTATTTAATTGCTCCAAATTATTAAAAATGTCCTTGAAACTAATTAAATATGCATAATTAAAAAATATTTTTTATCTAAATCTGGAACACAGTTCCCTTCAGCAGCGGACGGTTTTGTTCTCTTTCTCTCCCTCTCTCTCTCTCTCTCTCTCTCCTTGGCCCATCACCAATCAATAATAGTAAAAGCCCTTGAGTTTCTATTAGATCACTCTGTTGGGTATTACACCCGTAATCAAATTGTTTCCACCGCAGCGTTCACCTGCACGAGCAGCGTCCGACATGCGCGCCGCCGTTCGAGTATATTCACACAACTTCTTAATGCACTTCCACACTGGTGGAGATGAATAAGGCCGTAGGTGGACTTAGGATGATCTCATCCTGAGACGCTGAGAGATGATGTCAGACTCTAGATTAGAAATCTTCTGCTGCTGCTGCTGCTCCTGTTTAGCCTCTGTTGCTGTTTGGGTTTTAGAGGCCACCGGGGCTCGTAGGGCGGGGCACCTGCTCTCTGTATGTGTGTGTGTGTGTCCAGGTCACTAAAGGTTAACAGGTATCATAAGAGTGAGAGAGACAAAGCCGTTCATCAGATAGGCTACTTTAGCTTCCACTACTTTTGTATAAAAAATAAAAAATAAAAAAAAGGAAATCCTCTTATCCTTCTCTTACACTTCTGCTCAATGTTCTGAGTCTTCTGTAAAAATCTGTAAATCCTCAAACCTGAGTCTTTTAGCTGTTCTCAAAACAAAAAAATGTTTCGGTAAAAAATGTTTTAAAAAAAAAAAATTCGATCATTTCTTCCTCCCCCTTCTCTCTCCCCTGTTCTTCGTCTTTCTTTTTTTTCTTTTTTTTTTTTTCTTCCTAGCTGGTGATCTCATTTCCAGGATGTGTGTGATGTCTAGTGTCACACGTGGGTTTACCGTAAGAGGAGAGGGAAGAGAATGAGAAATAACGGTAAAGGAGGAGATGAGAGGGGAGGAGAGGAGAGGAGAGGAGAGGAGAGGAGAGGGGAGGGGAGGAGAGGAGAGGAGAGGGGAGGAGAGGAGAGGAGAGGGGAGGAGAGGAGAGGAGAAGAGAAGAGAGGAGAGGAGAGGAGAGGAGAGGAGAGGGGAGGGGAGGAGAGGAGAGGAGAAGAGAGGAGAGGAGGGGAGGAGAGGAGAGGAGAGGAGAGGAGAAGAGAGGAGAGGAGGGGAGGAGAGGAGAGGAGAGGAGAGGAGAGGAAAGGAGAGGAGAGGAGAGGAAAGGAGAAGAGATTAGAGGAGAGAGGAGAAGAGGAAGGGACAGGATGGGAGGGGAGACCACGACAACAGCACACACCCTAGTGTGATGTCATGTGTACTTCTCTCTCTCTCTCTCTCCTCTTTCATGTACGGTGCATGTGCCAAGTGTGGTGACACGGTGTTAGCCGTGTGAGCTGAATACACAATCACAGGGCGGTGACGGCAGATGCGTCACTTTGTCTTCACTAATGTCCCCCTGGTCTTTTCACTCTTTTTACTCTTCTTGAAAGGTACACATTGTA